ACCGTCATCTGGCACACGCCAACAGCGAGCACTTAGTTGACCAGTTGGAACGAGAAAACATGTGATCCGATTTGGCAACTTGCATCTACCTGGTGTTGCGATGAGCGTATAGTACTGGTCAATGAGTAGTATGGATCCGCGTCTCGGTATACCAAGCAAGTCCTGTCCCGACCAGGAAGCAGATACCTTAATTGTGAGCAGCATGCCCCACCCTGTGGTATCAAGAATGAGTCAGAATATTTTTGCTACCACTGGCTCCAACCTACCGGTTGGAAGCCAACCTCAAGAATGCGCAGGTATCCATCAGTGAAACTGAGGCAGGTTGAGATTCAAGCCCGCGGATTATCGTGCTTGGAACAAATAACTACAAAGCTTCCGCGGCATAGGCACCCCTGGTGATGTATCTGATTAGCGCGCAATAGAATTCAGTTAAGCCGTTTCAAACAAGTCTTATGGTTTTTGGAGTACTCCGTAATGGAATTAGGACAGGTATTCTCAAATCCCATCATGTTCTACCCTGAGGCAAAGTCCAATCATCATCATCATCGGATGTGAAGACATCATTTGTTTTCGTTTTAGTGGTGTACTCTACGATCGGGCTTGATCTTTGTAGAGTCGAAAATTTGTTTCAGAGCGGAACAAGGCTCTAACCAAAATTTCATGAGGGCAGTCTGAACTAAAAGAAACGAACCCGTTATTCACTTAGAGTTCAGACGGCTAGTGATATTCAAGAGTGTTAAACTGAGAGTATAAAAAGCTCACAAATTCGTTTTCCTAATCCGCACTAGGGTAGCTAGGACATTTGGGGATAACAATATAGCTGGCCAGAGTGAACGGTGCTCTGTACAAATAAAATTTTTACAAAGGTCACCTGACATTCAGGCAGACCTGTCCCACACAAAACAAAGGTGGTTGAACGGTTGTTCGTAAAATCAAACTAAACCACGGAACTAAGGCCGTGGTGCGGTGTGGCTAGGAGAGAAACCAGGTTACTATTTCGGCAAACGAAGCGCTGGTGTTGAAAGTTGTGTGCAGTAGGCGAGGCACGCATACCAGACAATGGTGACCTTGAAAATCGGTGCAGAATAATGGCATGAACAGTTCGCAGGTGAGGCTGAACATTAATCAATCAATCAATCCATGATACAGTGAAGCCAGCGAAAACATGGTACAAGGTCAATGTATTTGGACAAGAAAGAAATAAAAAGTAATAATCTCATAAGCGCGATGAGGTAAATCAGACGACGGAAATGCAATAAGTATCGCTCAGTGAAGTGTCTAAGCATATACGGGCAAGGAAGAGTACAAATGAGTTATGAAACAATGGCGCTGGTGGCCAAGTGGCGGACAAAAATCACGTGTGTTGGTTACAGACAACACACTGGGAGGGGGTGTTATTCGAGCGAATCGGTCAAAGGTGTTGGCATGAGATGTGTTGAATGAGGAAAAATAACCTACTCAAAATATGAAAACAATAATACACAGGACTGGGAGGTGAATAAATGCAGTCGGCAGATGTCTGAGCAGTAGATTCGATAATACGGCTAAAAGCGAGGTGGTGAACGCTGGGAACCAGTTGCCCCAAGGAGAGGCAGTCAATCAGAAGAATCCGGGAGAGCAAGAGTTATAAATGAACGATACCTTTCAGACGAGGACGCCTGACAGCAGGCTCTTCGATCAGTTCGTGTTCCCACAAAAAGTCGGACATGGGACAGAGGCCGTCGTCCGATGTGGTCTCAGCGCAACTACTGGTCGTCAAGCCGACAAAACCAGAGTCGACGAGATCTTGTGAGGGATGAGATGGTGAGTCATCCCCTGGGGAGAACAGTAAATTTGTGTATGGCACCGAAGTCTTTGAGCCCAATAGGTGAGGCCGAGTGATGAAGGAGGTTAGTCTGTCGGAGTAAGACCAACGCTTGGACTGACCGATGAACTTGTGCGAGTAACTGTCGCTGCCGTTGGTATTAGAGGTAATGTGCGGCGTCCCATTATCCCCCAGGTTGATGGATGATGGTGCCAGATTGTGTGTTCGCCTCCGTGGCCGGATGGGATACAAATTGACAGGAGTGGATCCGATCGGTGAATTATCCAAATCGTCAATGGCATATGTCGTGCGCACATGGTCAGGGGAAGGTCTTTTCCTTGGTGAGATTACCGTTCTTGGAGTTGGGGACATAGCACCTAACAAAAGGAAAAACTATTTTAAAACAAACGACCCTTGATATAGGCGCAAATGCGAATTCCAGCAGCAGGGAGAAAGCGTTGTGGCTGTGTTTAGCATATATCGCGAATGCAGAATCTATAAGTTAAATTTCGCAACGTTTGAATTAAGCGAACAGGAAAGAATATTTCTAATGAGTAAAGAGGAATCAGCACAAACTGGTTGAAAGCTCGTGAATAAAGTTCAGTGAAAATGTCCGCGATGTAGGCAGGTGTAGTCGTTCAATGTTAAGCAGAAGGGATGATTTGTGAGCAGCGAATAATATATTTTACATTCGTACCACGTCGGACAAATTTCTAAACTGCTTACAAGTTATTGGATGCAAAAACCCCAACGATACTACAAAAGACCGTACGGTGCTCATGGTAGAGGCGGCTTCGATGCTTGCATCTTAGCTAATGAGATAGGTAGGTGACTGGCTTCGAATGCTGCTAAATGTCGAGTTAATAAATCATCAATACCCACCATTTTGCGGCTATGTGCAGTGAAATTACACACAGCTCAACTACCGTCAAGTGGAAAGGCGTTTTCTCGTTTCAAACCCCATCATAGTCCACACAGATCTGTGAAAAATTTTAAACTACATGGAAGGCTAATTTCAATACCCTCAAACTTGAGGTGTCTTGGGTATTCCGTACCATAAATTTGAAGCCTGTGACTACTTGCTTCCATTGTTCTCTGGTCGTTTGGTATGCCCACCATCAAAAGAACTATGCCTAATTTGCGCAATGGGCATTGCATACTTCCAGACGCAGTCGCTTAAGAAAAGGTTCGACGATTAGTCTTACGGCTTCTGAACATGGTTAGCTTCTTACAAAAACCCAAATAACTATCTGCACACACCGCAGTGATATATTAGAAAAATTTATACTTATGAGTAGACTTATGGGGAAAACAAAAGGTCGGAACACATTCTTGGAAATGCAACCAATAGATCGAGATCGGTGAGATCGACGGAACGATAATCCATGAGCGATAATCCAGCATAAAAAACAACGGTAGCTTTACCCACCTGGCTCATGATCCCAGAACAACTCGACCGGAGATTCTAGAGTGGAAGGATCGCCTCGCGACTGTACTGTGTGTGTGCAAGAAAGAAAACAAGACATTCAAGACCACCAAGAGGACAGGCGCAACCAAGGTGCCATCTAATGGATGAACAGTAGAGTCAGAAAGCAACAGTCGTGGAGACAAGATTTTGATGATGCGGCTCCGCAACCCTGGAACTTCTCATATGCAAAATTACATTATCTAAGCGCTGTGGTAAACGAAGAGATCCAAAAAAGATGCAAAAGTTTCACTCAGTTCAGTTCAATTGTACAATTATGATCCAGACATCATAATCATCATCAATATAGGTTAACCGAGGGTGAAAGATACACCTAGGCTAGTGTGCCGCAATCCCAGAAAGATAAGCGATCAAACATTACAGACTTCGAAAGCTAAAAAAGTAACATAATGCTAGATATCATATTATGCTTTCGGTCTGAGGTTGTTGTTGGAGGAAGAAGCTAAAGGGGATGGGAAGGACAAAGGAACACAGAACACAAAGGTCGTTGAGGTCGACTCTGCACTATGTTAGCAAGTGTGTCCAACCAAATGTGTTCAACGTTCGTCGGACCCTAACAAGGGAGCGGAGAAGCTCCAACCGAGTCCCATTTCAAACTAAGGACCTTCATTCCTCTTGACCAAGTCATCGGTTGGTCTGCCCTCCTCCTCTTCCATCCACAACCCTGTTTGCGTAAACAACGCACGTCGCGGGAGTCGGTGTGCTGACATGCGCAACAAGTGGCTCAGCCATCGGAGCCTGATGCGTGAGATAACGTGGTTGTGGTTTACTCGCTCTTCCTGCACCAAATAAACCACGCCAAACAGGTTCATGGCTCACCCGGTGTTCCCACCAGACATGAGATGTGCTGCGAAGGCAGCGATGGTCGATCTAATGAGCCAGGTTTCCAAACCGTACAGGAGGATCAGACGTATAGCTGCAATTTCTTCAAGCTTCTGTGCCACATTACGAGCTGGCCCCTCGCAATTTCGCCCAACCCGGTGCAGCTACGACTATAAAGCACGCCGATGAAGTCGGTCAACGGGAATGTGGAAGACATTAGTTAGCCAACGTAAGCGATTAAGATTCAGCAATTACGAGTGAGGCAGCAGAACGCGTCTTTATAAAAACCAACTGACTGACCTCATTGCTCCCCTGGTATTTCCACCAGAGGTGAGCAATACTCCGTAAGCGCCGGTGACCAAACAAGACCAAGCGTCTAATGTCTTCACCGCGAACTAGCCAAGTCAAAGATCCATAAAGTAACAGAGGCCTTAGGGCAGCGTTATACACACTGACTTTCCCTGACAGGCTCATATCCCGCTGTCTCCGTAGATGGTTGACTCACTGGAAAGCCACACGGACCTTGCTGATACGCAGAGTAACTTCCTCACCGACGTGACCACAAGAGGTGACACAGCTACCAAGGTAAGCGAACTGATGCACCATTCGCAGTGGCTGCAGGCTGACAGCTGGAATAGGTGGCACATCGGTCCAGTCCTGAAACAACACTTTGCACTTTGAAAGTGTAAACCACATACCGAAGCGTGCAGTCCTACGCGTCAGCCTATGCAGCAGTGTTTGCATAATCACTGCGTCAGACTCAAGGAGAGCCATGTCGTCCGCAGACTCGACATGTCAGTAGGGCAAATGGCAGAACTTCCAATCTGGAAATGTCTGAGAGGACTGAGGGATTCATGATTAGTTCGATCACACAGTTGGAGAGGAAAGAAGGTACAGGATAACCCTGGCGAACCAAACTTTCGTGGGGAACTTAGAAGAGAGCTTCTCGTAGACCCTTATGCGGCCAGGGGAGTCAGATTAGAGAGGCTTCAGAATAATAAGGAGTTTTCTTAGCACACCGTTTACGGTAAGTGTTCTCTGGTACCGGAGTTAGTCGCATATGAAAATTATTGGTCCAGGCTGCATAGCTCATGTCATTCGCATGCATCTTGACCGGATGTCATGGAACTGCAGCTGGTAAATACTGTGCCTGAATGAGTGAACTACAGGAATATTAGTCGACATCGTACCTTAAAGCTATGGTAGATTTTAACAACGGAGTGAGCCGAGGCAGTGCGTATTGATTTCTTAGAATGGTACCTTTGGATCCATTTCAGCAGTGAACATAATCCTCAGCGACATGTTGAGACAGATAAGTAGAACCTCCGTCTTCCGCCACTTGTTACCCAATTCCAATGTCACAGCTCAATGCTTTTGAGTGAACAGTTAGGGATTTTTACATATTTTAGTTTACTTCCTTACGCATGGCGCATGGTAACCCGATCTTTTGTGATAAGGTTGTAGAATGGTAGTGTAAAACTGGGCTATATATTGAGTGCCATTTTTATATAACACGGATACAAGCGCTAAATAAACAGTTCGTTTTAATTCGCGATATGCGACGGAATCAATGCTGCAAGCAAATCAGTAGAGTCAGCAGTCACCCCAAGGGAGTAGATTACGTACCATTTCGTCTTGATTACGACTTCGTAATCCGACACCGTAAACGTACCAAAAAGATTGCAGTGTAATTCAAGAAAAACTAAAGGGGTGGAGGTCAAAAAAGTTAGGTCCCGTTAGTGTGAAGGAAGACAATTGGTTCCATAGCCCTGTGCACATCGGAGAGAATCTGGCGAATTTGCAGGCCAAATCAATAAAAATTGAAAACAGTATGCGACCAGTTGTGGCTTTTACGATGCCGGAAAGTCTCCATGCGGACACTTGGCAGAGTAAAACGAGCAACTATACCAGTAGACTACGGAATACTTAGGTAAAATCCATCGCACAAATCACCGATCAATCAACAAACAGTTCAACAGGGCAGAAATGTATGCATCAGCAATGCACCGGCACACTGCGTCGATACTATGTCGCCATGCAACCGCCACCGGTCAGGCGTGGGCTGCACTTGCCCTAAGGTCACCCACAACCCACGCGGATTCGAACAGGTAGTCTCCGGGTTAAATTACAGCCCCTCATCCGTTCGGTCACAGAGTGACAGGAAGCTTCAGGGTAGAAGTGAATGAATTATCTAACAGGTGTCTGATCGTTTGTTGCTAATATGGGTACGGAAAATCCCTCCACTCCAACGCCGAGGGGAAAGTTTAGTCCAATGATCGACTATGGTCCTGCACTGAGACGTGGTAATTCCAGTATAAAAGAATCAGGTCGCCGCAATGAAATCCAAGAGAAAGAAGGAAAGGGTAAAATTGTCGGATGGATCAATCAAGAAGGACGAAAAGAGGAGAACGAAGGTTGACTTTCAGTTGCGTCATATATGATTGAATAAATAAATTAACTGTATATTCCTAGAATATGCGAGACTATTCCCTAAAAGGGACAGATCAAAAAGCGGACTATCATTTCATGCTATTGCATAATTATTTAAAGAAAACTATGAGCGTATATTTCGAATTCACGTAACACAAGATAATTTGGATATTTGTTGGTTTGTCGATAAGTTTCCTACAAACACATGGCAGATATTCGGGGCAGGAAGAAAATGAAGCGAAAGGTGATGTGGGCCAAAAAGTTATTTACATGTGTTGTATGTAATTTTGTCAGGCGTCATCGATACCGTTTAGGGATTGTAATGTCCCAAGCAGAGTAACCGTGTTTTGAAGTGTTAACCTCCCACTAATCAGCCGACTATATACAAGGAGACGACAAACACCAACGCTGCCGGGACTTTCGAAGGGTTTCTTCTCATAAATCGCGCTAAATTGTGGCCACGATGCTCTGGCCAACAAAGCGCAGTAATGGTAAACGACACAAGTAAGAGCAGCCGGCTAGTATAGATACGAAAGACGCCACCTAGCCAATACGCGCCGTTCGGGCGCAACAGATGCTCCAGTGCGGTACACCACAGAGGATGTGTCAATGAACGCTACCCGACTAATTTCCGTATTACCTACTTGGTACTCCGGTCCGGTACGACCAATTGCTCGCACTTATCTGGGCAGACAAACGCGGTCAGTTACCATTAGTTAATGTTGAACAAAAGAAATGGACACTGTTTGATTTGATTGCATGCAAAACAGCCGGTAATGCAATTGTGGTGTTATGAAAAGAGCTTGGGATACACCAAGTTGGTCGGTGGAAATATGATACTACATTCAAAAGGTGGAAAATATTATGTGGATGCTATATTCGAAACAGTTTGAAAATGTCACGTCGTACATATCTACTGCCAGTGAAAGTAGTGTCTCTCGGAGACAACCCTGTTCACCGCAACGTTCAGAACTTGCACTGCAGTGGGGGATAAAACGCGCTATATCGCAGTAAACTTGGGAATCACGACGATACGACTTTGTTCCCCAAAGATCAGTGGCATAAGCTGCGGGCTGGTAGTGCAAGTCACTAGTCTTCATGCGTTCGGATTCCAGTGAAGTCGACATACGCACACAACTGACGAGACACAAGTCGAAACGGCCGTCGAGTGCTTTTCTGGATGTATGGAAGACAACCAAATTCGAGGTGCTGCGACGAACTCTCAATTGATTATACTGGTCGAACAACCAACTTGGGCGAAGAAGGATATAACCGAAGAGATGTATGACGAGCCCGGCAGGAAGAAAAAGACGATCGTCGATTTTGGAAAAAAGTAGATGAAACAACCGAAAACTGAGTGGTCAACAAATAATGTTCCGAAAATCGCATATAAGCATAGTAGATGATTGTTAAATCATTCATTACACACGTGAGCTAGGGGTGGAAAACACCTCAGCTATTGTGTTGCAACACAAGAGAAAGAAAAGAAGATGCTGAGTCACTAGTAACGGATGGGTATCATTCCGGAGAGCGAACAGCTGGATATTGTGCCGGAGAAAGGTTATGTAGCACGAATGAGATCCTGGTTGGAAGGGGAAGGTAAGCGGGATCTGGAGGGACAAAGAAACTTACGATGCAGACGTCAATGAGGTCAGCTCCTAGCCATGTCAACATGTGTATCCAACCAAATGTGTTCATCGTCCTTCGGATCTCAACCCGGCTGCTGAAAAGCTTCAACTGAGGCCAGGTTCGAACAAAGGGCCTTCATTCCACTTGACCAAATCATCGCTTGGTCACCCCTCCTCTTCTTCCATCCACATTCCCGACCCGTAAACAACACATGTCGCGGGAGCCGGTGGGCTGCCATGCACAACAAGTGGCCCAACTATCGGAGATTGGTTCGCGAAACGACGGTGCAAAACAGTTCACTTTCTCTTCCTATGCCATAACCAAGGGGCCGAACATGCTCATTGCTTACGCGGTGTTCCCACTAGGCATGAGCCAAACAGTGAAGGCACCGGTAGTCGAAGGTAAATAGTCTCTTTAGGTCTGCCAATCTAGACAGCAGCGTTAGTTAGCAGAGAAGTGGATAGGGTGCAGATTCGCGAGAATGAGAATGCACCGAATGTAATGAAGTCGATGTTTTACAATGAACGTCGTTATCATAGACAGTAGTAGCCACCGCAGCATATCACTACCTTGAACTGGAGCATCGCTGTTATACGAAAGGAAACTACCAAAGGCATTCTCATGAATGAGGAATAAGAAGTGCGTGGGCCTAGCATAAAACCTAAACATCCCAAGCAAGCAGTCAGGATTCAGACTCCCGTAAACGTACTTCACGATCTCAAACGACAGCTGGATATTGTGTGAGAGCAACGTTGCATTGGTAGTGTTTACTAAAACATAGCTTAAAAAGGTGGCCGAAAAGTCTTAATCAACTTACAGGGATCATTTGCAGGGAATGCAGGCTTGGTTGTGGAACGCAAGTTCAGCATAGTGGGCCGAGTAGCAGTGGTGACGGAGGTCATCGGTGGATCTCCATAGAAATTGCTACGAAGAGGATGAGAAACTCGCGTTGCGCTTTGTGGACTGGTGGTCACCATGCCCACCGTGTGAGTTCGGGTAGTTGTTGCCCTTGGTTTCGATTGCTTCGACTTCCCCTTAGGCCACAGTGAGCGGGACAACCGCGCCAACTCCAAGCCATCAACCTCCTCTTCACATGCGGGTACTGTCGATTCGACAGATGGCAACAAGGGATGTGGGAGGAAGACGGCGGACGTCTGAAATGGTACAAAAAGTTGAAGAGACTGATCAAGTGTTGGAAGACGGAGGAAAGTACCAAATCGGTCACTGTCCAAGGCGAGATCAGTCTCAAACCTCGCACGGAGTATGATGAGTGGGCAAATGTACAACGGTACTGCGGTTCAGTTCTGCCTAGTCAGTGTACTGTTGTCATGGAGAACTGAAATGTCACCAACCGGATAATATGAGCTAAGTTGCCATGCCAATAACAAGTACTCAAGTCGATGGATGCGCACTACTGATGAGTCTCGACAGGATGAAACAGCCGTCCAGTGCCTATTAGGACATGTGGAGGACTGTCTGGTTCGGGAGCTACTGCAATGAAATCACAAGCAATTACATCAAAAAAACTTCTACCAATGAGTGCACCAAAATATTTGCCCCAACAGTTTCTCTCATGTCATACATAGAAACAGTTACTGGAATTCATGTCATTCCAGGTCAACCTCGTCGTCTGCACCATTCGGAACTTAGAGGACAATTAACGATAAGACGCGCTATAAGCCAGTTAGCCTGCATGACGGCCTGCCACCGTACCCCATGATTCTGTGATATAAACGCTGGTTAGTGATGCAAGTGTTCGAATCCTGATGGATCTAATGGTTGTGCACTATTGCCCAGACGCAACAGATTGAAACGGCTGTCTGGTGCTCTTCCGGCCATGTAGAGAACAATCTAAGTTGAAAGTTACTGTGATGAGCCCTCAATTAATGATAACTATTAACAACTAATGAGAAAATGAGAGAACGTTAACAACCGTGGGAACAACAATTCAAGGAAAAAGAGAATAATTGTTAGATCAGAGTAATAACAGGTAGAAGCGAGGAATGGAGCGCAATGGTCTCGCGTTTGCTCCATCTCGATACCATAACACAATTACTCGTGAGTCTTGACCAGGCGACTTTTTATGCCTCTGTGAAACCACCAAGGGACCAAGTTGCGAACTCACCGAAGTGGACAAGACGAGTAAACAATGTGCTTTGAGGTGGGCGGTCGATGGACTCACCAACGTATGCGGTGCGAGTTCGACAAACATGTCCTAATGTGCACTGAAGGGCTCGTCGCAAATTAACAACTGGTCGAATTGTTTTCATATAGACTGTGTTCTCACCAGATCTCGACAAAATACTACACAGACTACCGTTCAAGGGGAATCGGTCTCCGAATGCCCCGGTGCGCGGCCGTCGCTTCCACTACGTGTACTGCGACACCAGCCGCACACACTACTTTCGACTGACAAGCCCACATCCAGCCGTCTCCACTGATGGCTAAGCCATCCGGGCAGTACTGATACGAACAGTCGCCTTGGTGACGCAACCCAGCAAAAGTGTACTGGCGATGGCTAAAACCAATGGTGTACGCGGACCTGTTTTGTGGTCGTTTCCGTTGTACTGAACATGTGAAGCACATACGAGGGCAGGGCGATAAATTTCCAGATACGCAGTACACAGATTGCATGCAGATAACATGGTAAGAGAAATGTGATCTGTAATAAAATTCTGAAAACTGCCCAGTGATTTCAATTCACAGTACGCTTTCAGCAGCCCAGCACAGCTCACAAGGGTCGCTACACTCTGGAACATAGTCGATGTCACTGGACAGCCATGATTTTCTATGACTACAAAGTTAATTTAAGGTAGCAGCAAAGTGTTAGGCGACTGCGTGCAGCGTTTGGTGATGATGCGCATTTAAGAACTAGTGTTTGTGTGGTTTGCAGAGTTCAAGCGTGATAAGCAACCCCTGTATGACGACTCACGATGTCGTCGATCCGTAAAGGCCACCACCGCCCACAACATTGTTGCTATGCAAGCGATGCTGGGTCAGGACACGCGGGTGACAGCTGTGGAAAGCCATCGGGATCAATCCGTACCACCCTACATGAGAACCTCGGGTTCAGAAAGGTTTGCGCACACTGGGTACCCCATTAGCACAGTGAGGACCAGAAAGCAGCTAGGAAGAATTGGTGCCGCACCAGGCTTGTCAGGTTTTATGGTGGACATTCCTATGCTGTGTGGGAGATCCTCAGTGGCAGTGAGACCTGGCTGTACAATTACGACCCAGAGCCCAAGCAACGGTCAGCTCAGTGGACGGCCGTTGATGGTGCGCCGCCTCGGAAATTCCGGCGTGAACGCAGTGTGTCCAAGCAGATGGCGGCTATATTAGTGGCCAAGACCGGTTATATGGCTATTGTACCGGTCGTACGGCAATGCACAGTCACCGCAAACTGGTATGCCACATACTGTCTGCCACAAGTGCTGAAAGCTGCAGCCCACCGTCGTCCAAGAAGCTGAGCACGAGGGACCTAGCTGCACCATGACAACGCATCTGCACACAGATTCCATGTCGTCGCAGATTTTCTGACTAGAGAACGCGTCCAGGTTGGTCACCCACCCTATAGTTCAGACCTGGCTCCGTGTGACTATTTCGTGTTCACAAATATTAAACGCATGATGCGTGGAATTCGCTACGAATCTCTAGAAGCTGCAGTAGAGGCCTTTATTGAGCTGCTAGAAGGGTTACCCGCTTCGACATGCTCTAGCTGCTTCTCCAAATGGTTCGAGTGCATGGAACTGTGCATGAACGCTGGTGCAGAGTATGTGGAGAAAACGTAATGCTTAAGTTGTTGTAAAAAAATAAAACTTTTTGTGCATCCGGAGATCCGAGTACATCAGCCTATGAAGAAGCGATTATACTAATACATAGCTGAATGCAATAAGCGCTGCACCGTCCGCAAAATATCGAATAAGTTGGCCAATGTTGCAATAACCCGACTGGTATTAGTTCATGTGGCAACAAAAACGCATAGATTCACTTCTCGACTGGTATGGTGTGGTGTGGATAGGTGGATTTGCGTTGCAGGTTACTATGTCAGAAAGTTGCTGCGCTCGATTCAGATCAGTCAATAACTCATGCCAGTGCCATTAAGCTGGCGTTCGCTCACCGTCCTTCATGCATCGAATGATATAGAGTCACCCCTCAAAGCCACTCCACTCTGCGTTAATTGAAAGCACTCTCGCTCGTTCGCTCGCCCTGCAGTGTGAACGTCATGAACAGTGAACAATCCTATACGTTGAGAGTGACAGAAACCCAGATTCCAATCCACACACACACACACACACACACACACACACACACACACACAACAATGCGATCCGATTCAATTACTCGTCAAAATGAATCCCACTCTAGTGATCGCAAAGGGGAGTAACACTCAAAAACAGATTAATACTTATCAGACACGAAACCACAGTTGTTGAATCGGTTCAATGCACCTGACCAACTGCGTGTCGTGCGCCGGTGTGGCGAAGCAGATTGCATTAAGTTGCGTCGTGAAAATAATACTGATAGCTGCAATAAGAGTAATGGAAATTCAAAGTGAGTACAAGTTAGAGGAGGTTACCATTGCCGTCATCATTAATAGTAGTGCATCAATAATATTGAATATAGGGCTCTACTAAGGGATTCGGCAGTAGCAATGTACGCGATAGATACACGTCATGAGATCAAGCTGGATAACGTCAAAATCGTGAGGAGGAGGTTACGATCAACGCCCCAAAGGCTGATTGCTGAGGTGGTTGAGATTAGCAAGGTGAACAGCTGCGTGAACAGAATGGACGGCGCAGAGCTTTCGAGCGTGTGGCGGGCTGTCTTAACCCGACCAGTTTGAGGAGCGCTGGAGGACGGATCCAGGGCAGAGAATGAACACACATCATCCCCGTAGGTGACCTTGTAACGAGGATCACTTGTGACCGTTCCGTGCACTATTGGAGTGACGCTTTACCCTGTAACGCGACTGACCTTCTGCCTATATCCCATTCGTCGCGATTATCTTCCCAGTTCGCTAAAAGTGATATACCAATCCTCGACTGGTTCACGCGGCCTGACGAAGGTTTTGTGTCAAAAGCCAAATTTTGTCCACAAACGATACCAACCGGTTGTTTTCAAACCATTCTAAAATCATGAGTTCTCGATCGGTTCCAAGCATTTTTTTAAAATGTTGAAAAAAAGTCTTCTTCGATAAGCAGTGCGTGTGCGTGGCACGCAAGACAAGGTATGGTTGGAAAGAAGGTAACCTACGCTAACACTGACATTGAACCCGTGTCAGTCTCACTTCTCATAGAGCGACTTGACTGATCAGGAGGATCCCATTCATGACCCATATACGCACCAGCCCTACTTGACATTTCGGTGACCTTTACGCTGTTTCATCAAGTCGTTGATGGCTCCAAAAGCGATAAACTACACACGTCGAGGAAAGTGGCAAGGAGGTGAGCGGATGACAAAGCCTAACAAGAGCACGTGCTCGAATACTTCCCGAAGAAGGAGTAGTGATCCAATTTAGCAAATAACCTGCAGAAATTCGGTATCTACATATGATTTCGGTTAGCTGTGAATAACGGTGATTTCACCGTAACTTCAAGGTGTGTTCCGTTATGGAACAGCAAGAAAAATGCATCAGTGATACGCCGGTACACCGTAACACCATGCTTCGCTGCTACGCAACCGGCACTACCAGTCGCGCATGGGCTGGGCTGTCATCCGGTCCCCTATGCAGATTGCAAGATAAACGCCTTATCTTTCCGGTCACAGGCTTGCTGCAAATACACGCTAAGGGGTTGACAGCAAGTTGCGATGAGCTAGTGCGAAATGAGACAAGCATGCATGCAAATCGTGTGAGTTGAGCTCGAATGATGTGGAGCAAGAGCAAGAACATGGGTTGTTTTTTTTGAAAACGGAGAAGCACAACTGATACTTAGTGGCCTAGCACAGTTGACCAAAGCCTGATAACCGCAGCGCACAACAGCACATTTGTAATCTATCGTGTTTAAAACAGTAAAAGCTGCCACAGTTGTAAAATATACAAAAATAGCACAAAATCTTCCAAAGTTGTGTACAAACTGCCTCGAATGAATGATTGGTGGGCTCTACAACAACGATTCGAGCTGGATATGCTTCGTCCTGTTTGTGGGTTGGACTA